TGCTGTTAATTTAAGGAAATTTTGTTTAGATGTTTTCAGTGTTTAAAGACAAAAGTTTTTTCGTATAATAGAATTGGACTATGAGCTTCTGTAATTCTGTGTAAGTTTTGTTTTTGTCTTTGCATGAGGAAAAGAGGGCCGTTTGTTGACTTAAGTTTTCCTTATGCAAATTTTGATCGAAGGTCAATTGGCGGTAAGCTAACATGGTTGCCGCTGATGTCAAGATCGGACGTTTGGCCGAGTATGTATATATGTACGCCGGTATCGGTGAATGTGTGTGTTCTGAGTTAGCATTATGCTAGTTTTCTTTCCCTCAAATAGTTTTAAATGTAAAGCCTACAGTGTTAGCTTATTTTATTCAGATTAGTCTTAGCTTTATTTACGGGAAGCAAAATATGCTTTGCCTGGATCCCCACTACCAATAGAATCAAATGTGCATGCATAAATCCTACGAGAAAAATGTTTTTGAGGTCCGGATTGTAGAACATTCCGGTTAATGGACGTCCGGATTTCGGACTTTGTACTGTACGAAGTACATGTCATCTTAAAAATTGGAAATAGTGATAATGACATATGTTGCATGATATGGCTGTTAGACTAAAAATTTGTTGGCATGATAATTTTGAGCATTAAATATAGTTATTCTTATATATATAAATATAGTTATTCTTAAATAGTTTAAAATTTGTTCACAAAGTTCACTTTGTTGAATCATATAATTTTGCATATGCATGTAGCTTAGAACATATCTAAGAACAATACCACTGAAGAAAATGATAAAAAAGGCTTTATAAGAATATAAAATAAAATTTTATTATTTGGAATTTGGCAAAGCATACCAAGACTATATGTTTAAAAGGAGTGTCTTCATGGAGGCCTTTATCCTAATCAGCATGCACTTTTCATATAAATTAAACCTAAACCTAACAATAAAGAACTAAACCACAGCAAAATCAACACTGTGCATTAAGGGAAGGCGACTTATATTCATATTACATGTGATGAAAGCTAGCCCATCTGCTGGGATTTGAACCAGGTTCAGCCAACACCATGTGAATATTACTAATGCATTTTTTGGTTTTAGAAACATAAATTATCCGAGTCAAAATGCTTTTGGCATATTACGTTAAACACAATTATAAACTGAAGAATAATACAAAATAAAGTAAATCACAATAGAATTTTACTGAATAACATTAAATAGGAGGAATGAACCTCAATGTTTTTGTAATTCATTCTGAAAAAAACCTCTCAAGCGAGATGAAAAAAAAATGGCAAGACATATTCACACCTGTAGATATCAATAGCTGAAAAAAAAAAAAAAAAAAAAAAAAAAGAGAGAGAGAGAGAGAGGGCAACGTAAGGACTTAATGAGCTGTCTATCAAAAATTGTACGATGATTATCTGAACTTCATAATACAGTACTTCCTTGCATATTTTTCCTTCTAGCCTTTTAGTGCCAGGTTCTGAACATTTTAAAAATTATCTGCATATTTTTTCCCTTCTTCAATGCATTCAAAGAATGAGCTTCACTAAATTTTAAAATGGGATTCATCCCCACAGTGATTGTTTTCAACTTCTAGGTAGTTACAGTTTCTAGTTCTTCGAGAAAGTGTCGGTTCAGCAGTCTTATCATTCAGCCACTGATAGGTAAAGAACATAGGAAGAAATTCAACAGATTCAAAAGTACATGAGAATATTCACTGACAGCACTTCCAGCCATCGAATAACATTCTTAGAGCACCTCATGGTCAGGATATTAGCAGCAAAAAAAAAAAAAAAAAAAAAGACAATTCAAACAAGCAAAAGTTCTAAATTAGGGTTCACTATGTAAAGAAACCACTGCAAAATAATGCCATGCTATCCTGGTTAGAGTAGACGGCTCTAGTGTACAATTGGGTGCCCTTTCGATTAGCGACAATTTTTTGTAAAATTTTGGAGAACCATGATAATTTAACTTTGCTTTAGCCTCCTGATTTTTTTAAAATAAAAATAGATTGATGTGTACATGGTCAAATTTAAAGCAGTGTGCAATGCCTAGTTTGTGCAATTCTGGGATGTTTTTTTAAGTGAAAACAGATGGATGTGTACATGGACACAGAGTTTATGCAATTATTAGACTTCTTATTTTGGTTTTGTCTAGCAGCCATCTTGAAATTGTGTCTTTTTGGCGCTGATCTTGGCGTCAAAAAAGAATCGCCAAAAAACAAGGGGCACGCAATTGTAAACTTTTACTGAGTAGACTGAATGGTACTCCTTGTACTATCACAAAGTTGTCATGTCATTCATTGCCAAGCTGTTGTTTCATTTATGGTAACCTAAGTAGTTAAACGTTCCATAAATATTCTTGGTACAACTCTGATAAACGCCCTAATTTCATCAAATGTGGCGATATGTGTTTTGCGCTGGTTTTTGGCGCGATTGCGTGTTGTATGGCAACCATGTCGATGTTGAAAAATCTTTTGGTGGAGTAGTTTAATTGCTAGTTGGTTCGTGTCGCGTGTGGTTTTGAAATGGCCTATGTTGCGATGAAAGATGTGGTGGGAAGGTTTCAGCCGCGTATTTTAGATTGTGTGCAGAGTAAATTTAGTATGAAAAGGTACGATGTTGAAGTTGTTAACGAGTCTTTTGTTCACAGATGTATTTATGGGGATCGTAGTGTATTTTTGGAATTTCTCTGTGGGAGTCAGGACTTTTAAAATGGAGTTAGGCATGTCCGAAATGCGGAGCTGATATGAGAACTCGGACGAAAAATGGTGTTTCTGATAGACTTGTGTGGGTTTGCAGTAAAATTGTTGCTAATAAAGTATGTGGGTGTCAGCAGAGTTTAAGGTTTGGATCTTGGTTTTCGTGTAGCAACTTAACGTTGGAGGAAGTTTTTATTGTTACTTTCGAAATTTTGAGTCGTAGGAAGGCATGTGATATAGCAAAATCGTGGAAGTTTTCTTCACAGACGTTGTGTGACTGGCGAAATTTTATTAACGAATGTATTTTGGACTTTGTATGCTCTGTATCTGAGAAGATGGGGGGGGAAAGATATTTCTGCTTTTAAAAGAAGCTTTCATTATGATAAGTGCATCTTATTTTATTGTTTTTATTTTGTAGAATGTTATATTCATTGTTTTTTGTATGAATTTCTGTTTTTATTGTTGTTTTTTGAATTGTCTGAAATTTATTTTAGTTTATTTTTTTTTTATTTGTTTTTAGTGTAGATTGTGCAATTTGTAGATGTTTTTTAAAGTTGAAACAGAACGCTGTGTACATGGTATTCTTTGAAATTTATTGTTATGTTAATTTATTAAAGCGAGGTGTGCGTAGTTCGTAGCCTACAGTGTGCCATTCGTAGATGTCTTTTTAAGTTAAAACATGTCGCTGTGTACATGGATTCTTGTCAAATGTTTTTGGTTAGAAACTTTACGTTTTTGCTATCTAAATTTTTTGTTTTTGTTTTGGATTTTTAGCTTAAATCATGTGTTCAAAACGTAGTTTTTGCATGTGCGAAAACCGTGTTTTTGGGAGACATTTTAGGCTTAAAGTTCGAAATGTAGACAAAAAATTTAGATAGTAGAAATTTAGATAATTTAGATGAAGTTTCTCGCCAAAAATATTTGGCGACTTGAGGGCGCATATCAGAGTAGTTCGATATTCTTTTACCTAGAATTGGGTGCTCTTTTGACATTTGAAAAGAGAAAATAAGTCGACGTGTACATGATTTTTTTTAATTGAAAATAGGCCAATGTGTACATGGATACTGTCGCCGCTACACAAAGACAAAATAACAAATCAAAGAATTGCACAAACTCGGTATCCATAAGAAGTAGCCGTAAATATACTTTTACCGCTATCCTTTACCTGTTGTACTTTTCTCAATTCGTTAATAAAATTTACACATTTGGGGGAAGGTGCAGAATCACCCAGTGCTTGGTGCATTTTTAATAATTGCACAAACTCGGTATCCATGTACACATCGACCTACTTAAAAAAAAATCAGAGAATTGCACAAATTTGGCATTGCGCACTCCCTTGACTTTGTCCATGTACACACCGATGTATTTTCACTTAAAAAGCCAAACGAAATTGACAAAAATCCAATTTTTCTTACTCTTGTAAAAAGTGCCAAATAAGTAAGCGATTCTGCACTTCACCCCTTATTTGAAAGAAAATTAACACAATACCGTAATCGGCATGCACTTTTCATATAAATTAAATCTATATCCGTAATCGGCATGCACTTTTCTTATACATTAAATCTGTACCTAGCAGGGACAAACTAAATCAAAGTCAACAACGAGAGTTAAAAATACATTATACATCATATTAAAACGACTTTTTTTTTTCTATTTAACTATTATAGCTTTTCTGTTTCAAATCTAAAATTAATAGTGGTGACAGAATTAATTCACGTACTACAATGACTAACAATTTAACATTAAAACGTTGCAGGGTACAAATAATAAATTATACATTGTAATAACAACGTACAATAATAATGAATGGAAAAATAAAGCTCTTCTAAACAGACACTTACTAGAATATATATAGATTTCGTAGTACACACTGCTATCTTATTGTCAGCGGACCAATCTAAGGCGAATTTGCGACATATTTCGCCAGGAAGTGAAAAATTTTGAACTAAAGTAACATTATCCATATTTTTTTATGAACTTATAAAAGAAATAAAAATAACGTTAATAAAAACGGAAACCGTTAATAAACTAAAGAACCGGCACGCTTACAATGTTTACATTTCAATCATTGCCATTTAGTTTCTACATAATTAGGAATTTAAAATAGAACAAACAGCTCCTAAACTCGATCTACAAATGCACCGTAATTTAGAATATATATTAATTATAATTTTATTGTAATAATATAAACTAGAGTTCTTTGAATACATGAAAATTCTTCAGCGTGTACAAAATTAACTTCATTCAATATTTCATTATTAAGTTAGATTCAGATGGCAATATTAAAAATTGATCAAATTTGGAGATCACAGACGAACGATCATTCTGTTACTTTCATTGTGTTAGCTTCTACTGAAAATGGCCGCTGTTCTGTCGTTGAATCCTAAAGCTGAAATTGCTCGGCAAGCGCAAGCTCTTGCAGTGAATACGAGTGCTGCTAGAGGCTTACAGGATGTATTAAAGACAAATTTGGGACCAAAAGGCACGATGAAAATGTAAGTCAATTTGAAATCTCTAAAATTAAATCTTCCTAAATTAATCGTGATCGCACGTGTGCCGGTTTAAGAAACGCGTACAGCTCGCAACATTTTTTTTTTTTTAATGTAGGGTAAAAAATTCGTAGAATTTTCATGGCTCCTTCAAATTAAATCCCCTGATATAATATTATACGTGTTAAAAGAGATAGGTGATCATTATGATAAAAATGTCCTGTTGTGATTTCCCTGAACACATGCAATACCTTTTCGAGAAATTTGCCTTTTAATATTAATAAAATTTATGTAGATTGCGTAAATCAGTTTTTAATATGCGAAACATATCTCATATACTGAATTGCATAATCATTAAGATCATTTTTATACTTATCAGAATTTATTTTTCAATTTTATTTTCGATATGTAAACGCTGATCATACGGAAAAAAAATGTGTCGCTCGTATTTTGTTTACCGTCATTTAATTATGTTTAAAATCAGAATTTTTTTTTAAAAGTTTTCAATCAGGTGACTCTTGATGTTTTTTGTTGCCAAGAAGCAAAGTTTCCAAGACCCAGAACAAGGTGGAAAATGTATTTTATGAAAACAAATGCACTCTGTGTGTGTTCTAAGATACGTCGTCAGCATCGGATGACTGCAGAACTATATAACTCTGTAATGCAATTTATACAGTCTTAAGACAGATCCTCTTCCTCCTCTTCCTGGTACCTGTGACACCACAAAAACTCCACCAAGTAAGAATCAGAAATTTCATCTCCCAGTTAATCTAGCTCCTCATGCTCTCAGCAGTTCAGCAGTGTTGTATGACTATCAGTTTCAAGGTCTTTATATGTCAGAAAATGATTTCCAGACAAATACATGAAGCCTTGATTGCCAAGGCGATCAAAGGTTTTCCAGCATTTGGATGTAATGGTGAATCCAGGCAAGATCTTCCGAGGTACCGACTCCAATAGAGTCTCGTGAATTCTTTACAGGAAAAAAAAAGGGGGAGTATTTATGTCACTAGACATACCTGTTTATGGAATAAAGAAGACACTGATAAAATTTAGAACCAGCTAGCTAACGAAAACCACTAATCAATTAACAGCAGTTAAATTCTAATAATTTACAATACGTTCAAAATACGTGCTGAAGGTTTGTGATACACATACTACAAATCATGTAGACCCAGATCAGTAAACTAAGAATATCCAACGAAATTAAACTTAAAAACTACAATGACACTTAGAAATACAAAAATGTTTGACAAAACATTATGGAAATAAAATCGATTTTGCTTTACTAGATAGATACTAGCATTGATATTTGGCCCCATTCAAGAGACACTCTGTGTTACTTTAAAACTTGCTAATTCTTAAAGCAAAAATGTACATATATTTATAAGAAATTTAAGTGGCAAATAATTGGTAGAATCGAGCGAGGCCAAATACAAATGAAAGTCACCGAAGATTTGAATATTCCTCAAAGTGTCATGTCACGAGTTTGGAGCCACTTTTTAAGCACTGAGTCAGTTGATAGATAGCCTTGTCAATGGTGTTCAAGAGCAAACATTGCATTAGAAGACTGTTTTCTGTCTTCGTTGGCTCAAAGAAACTGTGAAGCGACTACAAGAGATTTGGTTTTAAACTTTCAGGCTGCCACAGGAAAACTCATTAGCCATTCTACTTCTGGACAAAAGCTTAATGAGATTGGACTGTATGCAAGAAAAACCAGTCATTTATGTCCCACTCAATCCAGCTTCCAGAAGGGCTATTTAAACTGGTGCCGTTGTCATGGTTAAGGCCCATATCACAAGGCGTTTGTTTCACACAATTTTTTTGCCTGGTTTACTATTGAAAGAAAGACGTGCGACTTTTTCCTTCCTTTACAAAAAAAAAAAATGCAGGTTGTTCGTTTTCAACCAGTCAGCTATCAGCCTGTTTGTAATGCGGAACCAGTTTCCCTTGCGTTAACCCCAAAGCGATCTGTGGTGATTGGCTGTTGTGACAAAGCAGAAAAATTGTTGCAAACAGTTGTTCTTCCGAAACAAACCGACGTGTGATAGCAGCCTAATGGAGCCAAGATGATTAGGCCGAAATATTGCTTACTGACGAGCCCCGATATAGTCTGAACAGTGTATCTAGATGTGTTTGGATCTGTAGAGTGGAAGGAAAATGCAACTTGCCATCTCTTGTCTGTGAAATATCCCTTTTTTGCGACCACAGTTTAATGGTTTGAGGAGGAATCATGACAAATGGCCGCACCAAGCTGCATATCTTTCAAGGAATCTTTGTAACCATTTGGAGATATGTGGACGAGGTATTGGATCCCCAAAGTTAGACTGTTTAGGGGTGCTATTGCCATTAGTTTTTGCTAACGAATGACAATGCTTGGGCTCATAGAGCATATGTGGTGTCGGAATACTTGCAAACAGAAAATATTACTCAAATGGATTGGCCACCCGACTTGAAACCTGATTTAGCATGTGTGATATTATTTTATCATTCAAAGTTTTATCCCTGTCTTTTTATTGGAAATAGTATTAATTATTAGTAATTGAATATCACATTTTTAACATTGTTATTCTTGAAATATTTGGTAATGCTGATTAACTGCCAGTTTCTTTTCAGAAGCAGATGTTAGGCAGGTAATAACAGTTATTTGCTTTTATTTTAAATAAAAAATAAAAAATAAAAAAAAAAATGGAGAATTTACCTGCTTTTCTTTCCATAGGTTAGTGTCTGGGGCTGGTGACATAAAGATAACCAAGGATGGAAATGTGCTTCTTCATGAAATGGTATGTTTTGATTTTCCTAGTGCTATTCATTTACTATACATGTTGAATCTTTAGACCTTTTGAATTGATTTCGATAATTACATAATACTGAGAATATCTTGTGGGATTTGCAACCAGAATCTCATAAATGCCACATATTTTATTTATCATAAAATTAAGACATTTTTAAGGTATGAAATCTTGATACCTAAGAACTTCATATCCAAGAAAAAATATGTATATCATTTGAATTTTATTTTGGAATTTTAAAAAGTTAAATTTTCTGATTTTCAGTGTCCCTTCATTATAGCAATGTCAAATTTGTCTGAAGTAAAATGCCTTCTTCATGGAAGAATTATATAACATATTCCTCAGTCATATTTATGGAAAGTTTAAGAAGTTTGTTACCGCTTAATAGATGTTAGTTCCTCTGTTCATGAGAAAATTGTAGCACTGTTAGAAATGATAATCTGAAGCGACTGAACCAATTATTGAAACATAAACTTTTTTGTTTTCAACTTTTTATGGAAAAAGAATACATAAACAACAAAAATCAGCGTTATATTTTCAAAATTTTCACAGGACTAGTTTCGATGGTTTTACCAAACCACCATCCTCAGCATGGCTGAGGATAGAATTTCAAACAGAATTTCCGATGCTGGAGCTCCCAAAGGATCTACAAAACGAAAGTATGTTTTGATGTCCAACAAACAAAAAGTGGAATTGCTGCAAAAAATGGATAAACACATGAAGAAGGTGACCGAGAGGTTAGTGAAAACGAAAAAATTTCGATTGACAAGTTAGTCGGTATTCTCGGCACAGCAATTATGGGACTTGAACAGCGAAACTTTGTAACTGAACAAGAAATTATGTCTGTTTATAGAATTAACCTTGCAGTGCTCGCGTGGCATATTGTTACGTTAAAGGTTGCACGGCGTCTAACAGACGCCAGGATATTTTTGCTGTACTAATATATATTTAGGTTATTCAACTCAAATTCATGAATGCAAAGGGATTATTGAAATAACATACATATATTTGTGGTATCATATTACAAACACAAATAACAAAACTTCGATTTACAGTGAGACTTAATTTTATTCAACTTAACTTAAATACAAATGAAAAATACAAGTAAAAGTGTTTCATTTAGTCGGTTGCACAAACTAGCAATCAGTGCATATTTGCTGAGCGTGTTCTAAACATAGAAATTTTTTACAACTGCGGCATTTGTACTTAGTGTACCTGTTCTTGGAATGGCCACATTCATGACATCTCTGCCTTTTAGTAGCTCAAGCCTCTTCTGTAAGTTGAACTGTACCCTCATCTGGGAAAATGCTCTGAATATCCTGCTTGAGGATTTCTAGGTAATGATGAACATTGAGAACGTCTACGCAAGGAATCGTAAGCTACTCAAAAGTTTTAAAAAGCTCATTGCACCTGGTGCTGATTGATAAGTTATTTGCACGATATATTATTTTAGCATTTACATCTGCTACATTCATCATACTATAAAATATGACCATAGGCCATCTGTTCGTTTTCTGGCGACATAGTGAGTGCTACACAACTGGTCAACAGTATCAACTCCTGATTTAGTTGCGTTATAAAAGGTTATCATTTGGGCTTGTTTTTTCACACGATTCATCAATTACATCATCATGATGAATAGCGGAGAGAATCAGACCCACCTTGTGCTCCTTAGTTACATAAGACATTACAGTCATTCTGAAACTTAAACAATGATGTTCCTACTTCCTGATTCTTTGTATGTGTAAGCTCTGGAGGAATGTCACTCTTATTCTTTCTCCGGACAAAATAGTCCCAACCAAAGTAAGATTATTTTGAAGCAAAAAAATGCTATTGTCGAACCTCAAACAATATGAAAGGAACCTAAATCGTTTTTCAGACATTATTAGATGGCATAACACCCATTTTATCAGAGAACCATATCTCCTTGGTATTTGCATGATTGTCCTTTTTTGCGCAACATTGCTTCAGCTTTCGAGCGTTTTTTGCAACTGGTAAATGAGTGATAATATTATGTCACCGAGTGCGTATATTTTTTATTTTTAGGTGGGCAAACTTTTGATCATTTTTTCCGGCCTAGGAAATACAGTCAAAAGTCGTTAATTCAGACACCCATAATCCGGAATGATTTATAATCCGGACTTCAAAGCTAAAAACTTTCTGCGCATGCGCCACATTGGCACATGCGCACAGGCGTTTTATGCATGCACGTAAGACCTTGACTACTGCGCGTGTGCGCAAGTGCAGAATACGTTTTCGCCTGCGCGTTTAATATATAACGGACGGTGTAGGCTAAAATTATCTAATTATCTATTTCAGTTAATGTTAATGATTGCATTGTTCCTTAATCTTCGAATTGGATCCCACTTGTTATTTTTTGCAGATTATAAGAGCAATTTTATAAAAGTAAACTTGAACTTTCGATTATGTCAAATAGAATATCCGATGCTGGAACTTCCAAAGGATCTACAAAACGAAAGTATGTTTCGATGTCCAACAAACAAAAAGTGGAATTGCTGCAAAAAATGGATAAAGACATGAAGAATGTGACAGAGAGGTTAGTGAAAACGAAAAAATTTCGATTGACAAGTTAGTTGGTATTCTCGGAACAGCAATTAACGGGACTTGAACAGCGGAACTTTGTAACTGAACAAGAAATTATGTCTGTTTATAGAATTAAAGAGAAAGTATTATCACATAAAATGAAGCAACTTAAACAACTTACATTGAAAGAAATTTTTAATAAAGTAAACAAATAAATATTAAGCTTTTTTTTTTTTTTTTTTTTTTTTTTTGTAAATTTTGATACTCTTTAGATCATAATTGTTCTTTATTTCATAAATTACGGTTTCATATTTTTAATTTTAGAATTTCTGCATGTGCCATCTTCTTACGAGATTTAAACTGATGATCTATAATCCGGAAAAATCGATAATCCGGAATCGACGAGTCCGGATTAACGATTTTTGACTGTAATTATCGGCAGTATAATCATTACTATTGCTATCATTGGAGTTTTTCTTGCTCGGTGTCTGTTTTCATCTCTTGTTTCCACTCTATCTTCTTCTGCATCACTATAATCCTCAAACTCATCGCCTGATTCATATTCTTCCATCAGCATACGTAGTACTATTTCTTTGTCACGTTCATATGCCATAGTGAATTTTTTCTTAGAAGTCATTTTTGAATCTAAAGGTAAGAAAATAAATAATAAAAACAAATGTTAGCCATAAAATTATAAATACCAAAAGAAATACATTCTTTTTACATTTAAAATTAAATATATTCAAAAACAATTTCTTTTACCTATCACTAAAATGAAAAAGAAAAACACTGCTAGGGACAGCTGTTGATAATATAAATTAAAAATACTAAAATATATAAATTTTAAAATACTTACCTTTAGAATGAAAAACGGTCGCGTGGCGTCTCCTAGACTCCAGCAGTGCACATCGGCATATAACCTCTTCCTCTCAACACTAAAATAAAAATAGCATTGTTTCGATGATTTCTACTTATTTGTGTATAGTTGACAGAAAGGTAGACGGCAGCATAAGCTTGCTCACGCATCCGTTTATAAAACAATTAAAAAAGAAACATCCCTGCTGTCTGTGGAGGGTTAAAGAGAAAGTATTATCACATAAAACGAAGCAACTTAAACAACTTACATTGAAAGAAATGTTTAATAAAGTAAACAAATAAATATTAAGCTTTTTTTTTTTTCTGTAAATTTTGATACCCTTGAGATCATAATTGTTCTTTATTTCATAAATTACGGTTTCATATTTTTAATTTTAGAATTTCTGCATGCCATCTTACCAGATTTAAACTGATGATCTATAATCCGGAATCGCCGAAGTCCCGACGAGTCCAGATTAACGACTTTTGACTGTACTAACTATTACAAGTGTCTTTTTTGTTTTTCATTTTCGAGTGTTTTGCTTGTTGATATTCTCAAAATTGTACCTGATAATTACACTCATGTCCATAAACTAAGGATAATGCAAAATCAGGCAAAGGAAGAGTTAGAAGCAAAACAAATTTGACTTATTTGTAAAGCTTATTTATTAAACAAAAGGTAAAGAGCAAAATAAAATGCTATGTGTTTGATATTATTAAAAAAAAATAGCGATTTTTTTTTCCTCCTTGGAGCAAATTACAAAAAAAAAACCTATTTACGAAAAACAAATATTACATGGTTGGTATGATTGTTAATACATTGTATGTCTCCCAAACGATGCAATATAGTCCATATAACGCCTAGGCATGCTGAGTATCAAATTATCGATCTGATCTTGGGGGATATTACACCACTCAAAAAGCAATGATCTCCAAAGTTCCGGTAAACATGTAGGAGGAGGTTGATGGGCTGCAACTCGTCGGCCAGGCATGTCCCACACGTGCTCTACTAGATTCAAGTCCAGTGAGAATGCTGGCCAATCCATACGGGTGATATCTACGGATTGAAGGCATTCGCTTACGATGTTCGTACGAGGACGGGAGTTGTCATCCATAAACACAAATTGTGCCCCCATGGTGCCCCAAAACAAACGTACATGTTGTTCCAGAATGACGTCCCGATAGATTTGGCTTGTCATGATTCCAATTTGAACATGCAGGTCAGTTCTGGAACCCAGTATAATTCCACCCCAAACGAGCACTCCTGCACCACCGTAATGGTGTCGTTCAATGATGTTTTCTTGGTGGTAACGGGTACCTGGAACTCTCCATATGAAAGTCCGGTGAGAATCAGACTGCAAGCTAAACCTGGACTCGTCGGAAAACATCATACAAGCCCACTGTTGCGGTGTCCTCAATGCATGCTCTCTACTCCAGGCTAACCGCAGGCGACAGTGAGTTGCAGTAAGTGGAACGCATCTGACAGGTCTACGAGCATATAAAGCAATCTGCCCTAGGCGTCTGTACACAGTCTGCCTTGAAATTGTCGTACCAGTGGCTGAAGAGAGCTGACGAGACAGGTCTGAGGCTGTGCTCCGCCTGTTTCTTTTGGCAGTAACTGCCAAATACCGGTCCTCATTCGGCATTGTAACTCTCGAGCGACCTGTGCTGTAACGTCTACTCACATTACCATCATCTTGGAATCGTTGTCAAAGCCTGGAGATGACACTCTGGGCGATTCCAAGTTCTTCTAATACTTCTAGTTGGGTACGCCCACATTCCAGACGGCCGATAATTCTACCACGTAAAAAATCATCCAAATGCGTTCTTTGTGTCATAACTATTCGGTTATTGCACTGAAATGCTTATAAAGCGCCTGCGAACAATTTTACTTCTTTGCCTGTATTCCTTATATATCACTCTCTTACACTCTCGTCATTGTAACGTACTATCGGTGTCATCTGGTTACTTCCTGAAATTTGCATATGATTCTTGAAGATGTGTGTAGTGATTTTACGGGTGCTATATTTATTTTAAAGTTCGATTTCCACGTAACTCCGAATTATCCTTAATTTATGGACATGAGTGTATTATAATGGGTATAAATACAATAGACGTATATGATAGATCAGGGGTGTCTAAATTTTGTGTCAGTGAGAGCCACTGCATATTTACATCATTCTAAAAGTAGTGAAATAGGTTTCAGGTAGCAAGAAATGTCCGATTCCAAGCAATCATTCAATGTCAGTCTTAGTTCAATAAGAGCCACGCCCCCGTAATAAATTAATGAATGCATGACTTTTAATACATCCATTTTATATAAACAGTTTTTCATTGTTATTATTATTATTTTTTTTTTCCCCTATTAACTTGCAAACAGTTTTAGCATTTTATGTTGAAACATCTGCCTTTCTTTTTTCATAATATATTTGACAGTACCAATAATCTTCAAGATCACTGAAATTCTTTTCAGTAGCATTGTTAATAAAACTAGAAAATTGTACATTTTATTATTTTTGAAGAGTCATTTGCACTTGGATTCATTACACAAGTAGTAGTTTGCTAATTTTAATGACTTTGGTGATCCAAAAAACTATTATGTCACTTTAGAATCAATATTTTTTATTTCAATTTAATCATCTAATTGTGTGTCACACCTGAGATCTTCTCAAAGGTTATTGTTGGAAAAGCATTAACAATATATTATCTGGTTAAAGTTTTAAGCCATAAATATTGTTTTTCTCATTATTTTAGATGACAATAACCAATAATAAAAATAAAAAAAATATTACTTAATTATTTAAAATGCATATTTTGGCGGCCCATGAAATCGAAATATTTTAGGGGTTGAAAATCTCATGGTTCCGCGTGCTTAACGCTACGTTAGCAGCCGTGTTATCAATTATCATTGACCCCCTCCCGCAAACCAGCATTTGTCACCGTAAACTTCCTCAATTATATGATAATAAATAAGTGGAGAATAATTTAAATCGGCAATTGCGAACAAGGATGCTCGTAATTCAACAAAATGAACGTAAGAGGAATGGTTACAACTTTCAAACAAGCGAATAGTTTGAATCCGCTGGGTTAACAAGTTTGAACTATTATTGCCAAAGTTGGCGGTGTTTACATTTACCAGGTTCTTTGTGGAAGTGCTTCCAGACTTTATCTTAAAATTGTTGAATTATCAAAATTAATCGGATCTTTTTTTTTAATGTCAAAAGTTTACTTTTGCAGTAGCACATGCATTTTATCTTGCAAAATTTAAGTAGTTTACATTAGGGCTATTATTGATAATTTATCATTGTTCTTTGCAACTTTAAAAAAAAGGGGGGCCATAAAAGTGGGGAAAGTATCAAAATTTCTTATCCATTCTGTAATATGATTGATTTCTTCTGTCACAGCTTTTATGTTTAAAATCCATGTTAAAGACATGAAGCAAATATTGTTACAGTAATCAATGAGCATTGTTTTAATAGCAAATAAGGCCTTGATTTCTAATAAAGCCAATATTAATCGTGTGATTCATAAAAATGTTAATTTTAAATATGGAACTGCATCAGTTGTGTTGATTTTTATGTAAGCATTGATAATTTGAGATATAATTAAATAAAATATCTGTTGAACACAAGTAAAGAGAATATTTTGTGTTTTCAAATTTTTACAGCGATGGCTGTTTTTGGCCATTTGTCATTGGTAATAAATATCATGTATAAAACTGGCAACTCTGAATTATAAACTAGAAATCTTTTGCTAATACAGTCTAATAAAGCATAGCAGGTTTAATAGATGTATAGGTTTTAAATCTTTTATGTACAACCAAGATGAATTATATTATAAATTTTTTGTTTTATTGTTTGTAATAAGTTTTATGTTTACAAGTACGTTTGTTTTAAAGTATTAATTTGAATTTCAGCAAATACAACATCCAACTGCTTCTTTAATTGCACGTGCCTCTACAGCTCAAAATGATGAAGTAGGAGATGGAACAACATCAACTGTATTATTAATTGGAGAACTTCTGAAGGTTGCAGATTTGTACATTTCAGAGGCAAGTAAACTCTTATTTCATTTATTTTGTTATGAACAGTGAATTTTAAATATGGTAATTAAACATTTAGATGTTAGTCCCAGTTGAGGCAAGATTAAATAATATAATTATTTCATTACTTAAGTATAGCAGCCTTGAAGGCATTTCTCATACCGCCTTTAATATTTTGTAATTTGTTATGCATATTATATTATTCTTGGTTTTTTTTTTTTTCTGTGTGTGTGTGTTTGTTTTGTGTTTTTCTTACCCTTTCTCATTTATGTCTTTTGTTTCTTCATAATTTGTGTATTTATTTGATATGTTGCAGTTTTAATGTTTATAAAACTAGCTGAAAAAGAAATTGTGACTTGTAAGAATCTAAACATGGGAAAGACCATAGTATCTCTTATTCCTTTGACTACAATTATGAAGTGCAATTTCTATTTTTATTTAGCATTAAATTTGTGGTATATAGCAGCTGTGTCATGTGTCACTGCTATTATGCATGTAGTCATACAATGCAATATGTAATTGTTTGATGTATTAATAATTTTATTTTATACAAAAATTTATTTTTTAATAATAGGGTCTTCATCCCCGAATCTTAACAGAAGGCTTTGAATTAGCCAGAGACAAAGCACTTGAAGTATTAGAAGAAGTTAAAATTGCTGGTGAAATGGACAGAGATAAATTAATTACTGTTGCTAATACTTCTCTTAGAACAAAAGTCAATGCTAAGCTTGCTGATTGCTTAACAGAAGTGAGTTTAATTTTTAGCCCAAAAGGGACGTTAGTCTCGAATGGGATTAGTTTCAAAATGGTATATTCTGTCAAAATGCTTAAATGCATTATATCACTTTTCAGATTATTGCCACTAAATATTATCATCCTGTATAATGTATAAAGAAGTTAAATAATGAAGAATCTACATGAAGATATGTATATTTCTTGCTTTGTAAAAATAACAATGGTACCTAGAGTCACCAAATTTTTGAATAGCATAGTCCACCCAAACTTGGGCACCTGGAGGCCCAAATTTTGAATTTGTTTTATTATCTGTTTCATATTTTGTAAAACTTTAACAAATCTCTTATTAACAAACTGATTTCAAAATGAGCACTGGCAACACTGCATGGAATGAAACACTTTTATCTCTAGAATGCATGACTATCAGTTAGAAATTTTTAAGATATGCTGTTTTTAAATATTTTGTGATTTTGCTGTTGAACTGAATTTTATGTAGCGTAAGTGCCAAGAGTGTGATATTTAATAAATAAAGTAAACACACAAAATTTTATGCAAAAAAGAGTTTTGTAAAGCCATCTTAGTAAGATAACTGAATATTGGTATGATAAACTTAGAAAAAACTGGGGGAAAAGAAACCAGAAAATGTACGCAACACTTAATGCCACATTGGGAATTTTAAAAATATATGGCTAGGCAGCTTTTAAAATTTTTGTAATTTTGCTGTTGTATTGTGTGTGGTGTAAGTGCAAAGAAAATGATGCTTAATACTAAAGCTAAAAAGACAAAAAAAGGGGGGAGGGATTAGTAGGAGTGAGTGTAACAGGAGACTAGTAGACTGTAAGCTCAGCAAAAGTGTAAAAAACCTTAACAAATGCTTAAAATCTGAAACTTTTTTTAAAATGACTTTGTCATGAATGTTTAATACAATTAATCTAATGTTATATACCTTTAAAAGTACCTTGCAAAATTTAAGCATAGTTTTAGGGGCTTAGTTTGTCCCTTTCTTTTTATTATCCCTCAGAATATGGTTTCCACTTATTTATCTGCCCATTTATCAGTATGTAATGATGGTTAATTATCTTTATTTCTTTCTGTGGAGAAAGAATCTTCTAATGCATATCCTGATACCAGGACTTAAGTCTGGAGAATATAGCTGATGGTAAAGCACTTCCCAATCCCATCGATCAAAGCAAATCAGCCACGTCTATCTTTATAAGTTAGTTTTCAAAATTAGTTTCAAAGTTGCCAAATCTTCCGGTTTCTCATCATATCTTCTGGTGTGATAGATAACTGAATCTTAATTTTTAGCCTTTACTAAGAAAAATGTTTCCCAGCAATGAACTTAAATTATGAAATTATGCAAATTCCATTCCCCCACCCCAAGTGGTTTTCATGAAGCTTTTCCACGAGTTCTATTTTATCGGGATATTCTTAATCTTTCATAGGTTTAGTCGTAAACTAAACTAAACTCATTGGCGCAACAGCCCTAGTGAGCCAGAGCCAGCAGTGCCCCGAAATCTGCTTTCTTGACCGCGGGCCCTGGGGTGCATAAGCATATACCCTGAATAAGTGGGCAGCTTGTCGCAGGCCCCCCGTGTTTAGTCCCCAAGCGAACTTGGTACTCATTTTATTGACCCAAGGGATGGAAATCGAGGAATGCAAGACTGAATCGACCTCCTTGCCCCAGGCCAGGGATCTTTCTTCATACAAGTAATTTTTCAGTATAAAAAGTGTAGGAAATTTACAAAAGGAAATTAGCCAATGAATGTAAAATTTAGAGCATTTAATTAAATGTTAATATATTTTACATCAGAATCCAAGCTTTGCTCGGTCCTCAAAAGTCCGTACTTTTATTTTTATTATTATTTTTATTATTATTATTATTATTTTTTTAAATGATTTTTGGTCCTTAATTTTGAGGCAAATGTTCTTAAATTTTACGGATCTGACATTTCTGTCTTTTTTACGACTGCCATTTTGAGTGTGAATAAACATTTAGGGCAAGGGTTCTAAACCGGTGGTACGCAAAGAAGCAAAGTATTTTTAGCTATTAAATTCAAAAATTAAAACCTTAGCATCCTGATTGAGTTTTCCTCCAACACTCGTAAATTTATGCAATCTAAGCTTTGTTTAAGGGGGTAGTAGTAGTGGTACTAAAGGTTTTTAATCTTTGTTTAGGTGGTACGTGTTAGTCAAAAGGTTAAGAACCGCTGATTTTGGGGAAATATTTTTGAGGGATGCATTGACAAATATGTATTTGATGGGTTAATGTTTGAATTCTTTTCTACTTCTTAATATAAATGGATACTTGAGTTTTAGGGCCCTGCCTTGACTGAAACATAAACATTTTGAATAAATTTGAAATAATTTCTTTCCTGCAAATGAGGAGTTAATAAAATATTACATGAAAAACAAACTTTCCCTTTTTGGGATATAAGTCCCTTTTAATTATGTGGTGCTAAATTTAGCAACTTAACAGCATTTTGGCGATTTCAAGATTAGTTTGTACACAGATTTTTATTTACCGATTTGTGAATTTTTTATGATTTTTTACAAACATAATAACATTGATAAATACCGTAATAATGATAGTAGATTAAAATTATATTTACAAAATAATATTAAAATTTTAAAAAAAAATTATTTTCTCCTGCCATAGTTTAAAGGAATATTACTTTCCATTTTGGTAACTTAAAATTCTCAAAATTAACAAGCTAGTAAAATCTGTAAAGCATGGTTCTAAAACAGTTCTTATAAAAAACAAAAAAGCTACTGTAATTATTTTTTAATTAATTTTCTTATATTTTTTCATGATAAGAGTTTTTTTCCCATGTAATTGTTTCAAAATATTTAAATGTTGTTTTAGCTTCCTCTTGAAAATTCACTTAAACTTCCCTTTTCTGAATCTTTTTTCCTCCCGAAAAGTCATTTGGCTTTTTGCTCTCAAGAGTTGGTAAAGATAATTTTTCTTTGGATTTAGACCTTGCACTTCTGAAAATTTGGAAGAACTTTAAAGCAGAATTTATAGACCTACAATTTTCAGAAAAATGTGATGAAATGAATAGTGTCATCGTGGTATTTACATGTAATGGGCATGTTTTATAGGAAATTTATGATGAATTTCTTGTCTTTTGGGGAAATTTCTGGAAGAATGGTGAAGTTAAAATTATTTGAATTTTCTTCTTTTTATCCAAGAAAGCAAAGGTACTGAAAGCCGAAAATTTATTAAAACATGCATCGTATACATCTCAGTGCACCATACATACCTTTGGTTGCCCTAAATTTTAAAACTTTTGCTAGCCTAGATTTTGTTGCTCGGTGCTTCACTAAATTCTAAAAATTTTGCCACACTGGCTCTGGCACCAACTTTGAAATTATATCATTTCATATTTATTCTCAATTACAGTACAAAGTTCGAAATTCCGACGTCCATTTTCCGGAATGATAAAAAATATGGACCTCAAAACCACCAACAAAGTTTTTCTTGTAGGCTTTACACATGCACATTTGTTCCCTTCCCCCCACGCGCATAATAAAACATCTGGAGAGTCTTGATTCTTAATTTCACTTCGACACTAAATACAATACCTTGTTATTGAAGAAACAATCATTTTAGCATAAATTTGTACCATCAGTAAAACTTCTCCATTGCTGCATATGTTCTTTGGCACACATCTCAAACCGAAACATTCCACATAGATACATCGTTGATCTGACGCCAACCTGGGAAATCATTATTTATTATACTTTCCTTTTGTCACCGCGTGTTTATCAAAACATGACAACTTAAGTAATGACTAGTAGCAATGCCTAAACAATTTTTATGTCAGTAATTGAATAATAAAGGACTATGGTAACCTTTTATGTTGACAATGAGAGTTTTTATCACTTGGCGATGATTACAGATTTAAGTTAAGTGAGCTGAAAATTTACAAAAAATTTTCCATATGCTAAAAATAGATTTTGTTGATGATACTCATAGACTCAAAGATTATATTTGGGGCTATTTGAATTAAGAATATGTGATTTGTTGTTCACATAAACCCAGAAAAAAGCGCCAGGGCTCGTATAGCAGCATCGAGTTGCAGAATTTAGGACCTGGCAGAGACTGCATTAGGCGGTAAGATATTTAGCACCGGCCTTCAATAACGCTTAAGTATATGTGATGCAAGTATGTCTGATGTAAGTATGTGGGATTTTATTTATTCAGAACTCTAATTAGGCTTAAGCATATGCAAGAAATAGACATAAGTATAATAAATAACTAATACAGTTCAGGCTAATTGTCTCGGTGCACAATAGAAGCAAGATAAAATTTAACGAAACAACTTGCCGTTAGTTGGCAAGCTCATGATGCATAGCTAAATATGTGTAGTGAAGGATAGCTGCTAATTTTAAAGGTTTTGGGATATTGCAAAACAAAGGTGAAATTTTGCAATTAACGGATTTTGTAAAGAAATGTGGAGAAGCGGTAATAAATGAAGATTATATAAAAGTTTTTCATTGAGATGACAATGCTTCTCAATCACCAATCAATGGCAAAATCTGTAGTATGGTTCTAGATCCAGAAAATATTACTACCGATAGTGATTAAAGTGACAGAGAAGTTACTGAAATCGAGAAAATTTCGATTGACAAGTTAGTCAGAATTATCCAAACAATAGTTACAGGACTTCAGCAGTGTAACTGAACAAGAGATTATGTCTGTCTACAGAATTAAAGAGTAAGTATTAGCACAAAAAATGAAAGGACTTGCGGAAATCTAGTAAACCCATGTAAAATGATAAACAGGTTTTTTAAACAAATACACTTATATTTCTCTAATTAATTACTATCTATAAAAATTTTTACTGGAAAGTTTTTTATTGTCCTCGCACAGCAGCGAGCCATGGTGCCCATGGGCATAGGGTGGGGAACCCATGTACTAGAGCATTCTTTCATTTTATTTCTCTGTGTTTAGTATTTAGCTAGCATATGACATAATTAATTGTTGTGATTAATAAGTTGTGAGATATCATACCATTGCGTAACATTTTAGTAGCAGTACATGGAATATTGTTGGAATTCTTCTGTCTTATTTTTAGCCATTAAACTTTTTATCTGCACTATTTATTGTTACTAGTGTATTAGTGGTAAAAGTATCCACATCATTCACAGTATTTAGTACTTTTGCTTTACAGATATGTGTGGATGCAGTGTTAGCGATTATGAGACCCGGTGTACCAATTGATTTACATATGATTGAAATCATGGAAATGAAACATAAAACTGAGTTGGATACAACCCTGATTCGTGGTTTAGTTTTAGACCATGGTGCACGTCATCCTGACATGAAAAAAAAGGTGGAAGATGCTTATATTCTGACCTGCAATGTATCTCTTGAATATGAAAAAAGGTTTGTGTGCATAAATTTCATTAATCTAAGTCTTATTTCCTTCTACTTGTCTGCTGTTTGTTTTGTAAATTATGATGCACAGAAATAGATCCTTAAATAATAGTTAAGATTTTTTTTTTTTTTTTCAGTGTGAATGTTCAAAAAAAATTCTGCCAAACTCGGCAATCAAAATTTCATTTGGGTTCTTTTAATTTGCCTTTCTTTCTTTTTCATTAAGCCAGTAAAAGAACGGGAACTTTCAAGATGATGTTATCCTTAATTCTTCACAAAAAATTTTATTTTTTATACCGATTTGACAGATTATAAAAAAAGTATGTCCCAGTTTTACAAACTTAAACATATAGCCAAGTTTTGTAGCATCTACTTAACATTAAAATCTTATTTATAGCTACTATGTAGGCTGTTGATATTCAACCATATTTAATATTTATTTTTATGAGTATTAAGCATTTTGTTCTGAAAATTTTTCTTCTCTTTTTTTTTTAGTGAAGTAAATGCTGGATTTTTCTACAAATCAGCAGATGAGCGGGAAAAGCTTGTTCATGCAGAGCGAGCCTTTATCACTGAAAGAGTTAAAAAAATAATTGAACTGAAGAAAAAAGTCTGCGATGGAACAAAGAAAGGATTTGTTGTGATCAATCAAAAGGTATACTCTTACACTGGTGTGCAAAACTTAAGCAACAATGTAAATTTTAATCTGTTAGCCATGAAATTGTAGAAAAGGGGTTCTTGCGTTCAGTACAATGAACACACAATTCAGTAGAAAGGTCATGCATATGCAAATGTCAAGAAAAAAAGGTCACATGCTACGTGAATGTACACAAAACGCGTACGGTCAGCGCACTTAACTCGAGATTACCATAAAAGGAAGGATGGAGATGCAATTAAAGACTTTCTGCAGTGCAAGAGTTTTTCGTGATATGGCTAGAATAAATGATCTGGATGCCTCACACGTGAAGATGATAAAAAAATCTGGAGTAGGAAGCGAGTGTGACAGTAAGCTGAGAGTTCGGAATCACAAGTGCGTTTTGCACGTTAGAAACAGGTGTGTGGCGTCTCAGGAAGCAACTGCAGAAATAACTGATATAAGTCTGCAACGAAAGAGTCCGAAACCAGCAGCAATCACCACATCTCAACACTTGAACAGCAAACGGCGACAGTGTTGTGGTTACTGTGTCAAACACCTCCAAAGGTGGCTATGTGTCTGTCGTTCTGAACGCGTGGACTCGCATACCGTTACATTGGTGCAAGAGCTAAAAACTGGGCATCTCTCATGGTGGTCATCCTCCTTACGATGAGATCGTTAGTGCCACAAGCATTCTCAAGCAAATTGATTGGAAGAGGTCGGGACACGGTTATAAGTCACATACAGAAGAGACGTCCGTGTCCTGAAGATCTGTCTGGAGAGGCATTTGCTGACAGGCGGACGGATCTCACGTTTTCGACAGAAGTTCTGTAACCGAGATGCTATCGCAGGGATTGATCCTTCCCCTGTACGTCTGCGGGTGCCATTATAGAGACTTTTTTATGGATGACATGCACGCCACACCGGACTCTTGTGTTCAGAAGCTACTGAAGTGAGATATCACTCGAATGGATTGGCCAGCTTGATTAAACCCCATAGACATGTGTGGTTGCTTTGGGGAGACGCTTGTGACCGATTACATCCTCTGGGAATTCAACAACTGAAAGATGCTGATTAGGATGGGCACTCTACCCAAGATCTGTTGGAAATCTGGTGTGATATGAAGAGCCTTTCCCCCTTTTAAAGGGGGACTGGGGATTAGAGGAACTAATACCAAATCCTGAGAGAGAATCCTATCCACCACCCTTTTAGTTCGGGAGCCAATTTGGAGACATTAGGTATTCTTTGGAAGCAGGAGAGATGAAAAATGAGCAATGCCCTCGCCGGGACTCGAACCACGGGACTCTCGATTACGCGCTGAGAGGACTGACCACTACGCTACGAAAGGCGGGCTAAGAAGACGGGAGAAATACCTTATAGTATTGCGTAAATACCTATAGTGTACTAAATTCGGTGTATAAGTAAATTGTGGAAAACACCGAAGAACATTACGAATGCCACCTGGGTTCAATATGCGTTTCACGTTACCTCAGCACGCTTTACTTGTGAATTTATTTTGTCTTTCTCAATCGAATCCAACTGCACGTCTTCGTGAGTTTAGAAATGGTAAGTTTAAAAAGGATGTACTACTGTCTTTCTCTAAGAATTTATCTATTTTACTTTATATTAAGACAATGTACCTAAAATACACAATTTTAGCTTATGTATTGAAGAAGTTTCCGTGGACCGTTCATGCTGTGCTTCGCGCTTGTTCTTTTTTATTTTTAGAGGATTTCATCTCGCAGCAACAATCAGCAATAGTCAGCCATCGTGGAAGTAGATCATTTCCCTTGATACATTCTTTGCATTTCTTTGATGTCTTGACGAAATCTCTCACCCATCTCTTCATTAAAGACACTCAGATTTTAAGCAAAATAATCCAAATATCGATTTAGGAAGCGAACCTTTAATATTGTCCAGTTACTATGTCTTTAAAGGCCCTCCAGCTTTCGTTTTCCGCAACATCCATTTGTTTTTGTGTCAAATTACCATTTGTGAGAAGTTTTGTAATGTCAGGACAAGCAAAGGTACCCTCTTTTAGAGTTGTTGATAAGGCTAGAAATATGTTATAGGTGTATTAAAACACTGATATTCTTTTTGCGAAGTTTGGACAAATTTTTGCATCAAGCCAAACTTAATATGCAGAGGGGGAAGGAGAATTTTATTCGCATTTATGACATATTTTCGGTGCATTGTTTTAGTTCCAGGATTTAATGAAACCCTCTTTGGCCAATCGTTCTTTATCCAATGATTTTCTCTGTCTCTGATGTTCTCTTCATTCCAAAAAACAAGGAAACATCGTGTACCCTTCCGTCTGTCTGAGGAGCATCGATACTGTTTTAAGATTCCCGCATGTAATCTACTTATGATCGTTGTATTTAATTTTATTCACAATGAATTCCAAATCTTCGTA